AATATATGTAATATATATGTCCTGATGTGTAACCATGTGAAGTTTCAAGTCAATTCTCAAACACTGACTTATCACGAAAATTTGATTTTGCCTGATTCTTACGTGACCTGTACTTAAAAATTTTGACAGAACTTTTTGTATTATTTGTACATCCAAAATTAAGGCTCTTTGATGGAACTGTATCCTTGTGTGTATAATGACTAAAGCACAAAATTGGGAGAGACTACTTAAAAAGTTTTTATAACATTTGTAAACTTATATGTACTACATATGTATACCTAGTGTAACACAGGAAACAAGAGGCCCAGGGGCCACATTGCTCACCTGAGCACTTTTGGCTAGGAAAAAGCAGAAATCAGTTCAGTACTGAAAAGTTTAAATAAAGTGGTGAGGGGGTGAGGGGTGGGGTGGGGTTGAATTATTACAACACATAATGGCTTTGCTGTTTGTAAAAAGATTTTTATATATATATTCTTCTCATTCCTCTGTATAACTATGATCCCCTGCTATGGCCCCTCTATACCCTTGGGGGGGGGGGGGGTCATGATTTGAACAAATTTGAATCTACATTACGTGAGGATGCTCTTATATTATTATGACCAATTATGGCTTTGCTGTTCTTGAGAAGAATTTTAAAGATTTTTCCTCTGTATTCCTATGTAAAACTTTGATCACCTATTGTGACCCCACTCTACCCCTGGGGGTCATGTTTTGAACAAACTTGATTCTACACTACTGAGGATGCTTCCACATAAATAGACTAATCATGGCTTTGCTGTTCTTGAGAAGAAGATTTTTAAAGTTTTTTTCCCTATGTATTTCTGTATTTGGCTGAATATAATACACACTTTTTTCCCAAAATAATTTTCTGTGAGAAAGGGGTGCGTATTTTACATCATAATGGGATTTTGATAGGTTTTTCTTTCATGTGAAACACGGCTATCATACGCACATACCGTAGTATTACCTAGAGACTTATGCAATTTCTTGCTGTTTATCGCCGTATTTAATACTTCGGAAAGTTATTGTTGAAATGTAGGCTTGTTCAAAATGTTATATTTATAACCTTTTGATAGTTAAATTAAATTTAAAAGCAAGTTAAAATTAATTTGAGCTGCATGTTCATCGTTTCCGTGTAGGCCGCCATTAACGATGTTATTTATAGATGTTCACACATTCCTATGCCACGTGCTTCCGTAATCATAGTACACATGTACCTAGTCTATACGTCCCAATGAATGGAAGCCAATGTTGTGAACACGTGCGCTTGTCACTTGATAATTACCCCTCAACAGCCCTCCAGGCAATTAAATTGTTTACCAACTCCAAAGCATTGTTTTTACAGTTAGAGCACTGATTATTTACTGCCCTTATTAATGGCTTTGATTATTTTCTTTGTTAAAAATCGGGGGTTGGTTTATGATTTTTCGTATGTGATTACGACACATTAAACAGTTAAACGCTTGTTAAATGTAATTTTACTTTATCTTATATCGGCCTCGTGTTTAAATAATTGAGAGTTAAGAAAGGAAATATGAAGTATGTTGAACTTAAGTGTTATCATTTACTCGTTCTCTGTAGAAAATAAGATATCCCCGAAGATTACCTCGATGTATGAAGACATATATCCCACCTTTGTACATCATTTTTCACAGCTTTGGAGGTGTGTTGATAACTTTACACGCTTGTTAAATTTGATTTTATTTTTATAACATCAGCTATTTATTTAATTAATTAATTTCAAGTTCAAAAGAGGAAAATCGTAGTCTATGAATACTTTGATGTTGCAATATCGCTTGCCCTGTTAAATTAACGTAATTTACAACATGATTACCTTAAACTAAAAATAAATATGACAACTGTTAAACTTGTAACAATATCTCGTGCTTTGTTGAAATTAAATTATTTCTACAAAGAATAGTTAGAATACGGCGACGTATAGTTTCAATATCACCGTATGCTAAAAAAATATTAATAATAAACTCTGTTAATACTTTAATGCAACATTATCTCGTGCTTTGTTAAAATAAATAATTTCTCCAGATTGCCGCGATATGGAAAGTCAAGATTAAGAAATAAAAACGCATTTGAATAAAACATCGTGTTCTGTAAATTTTCGGCACTTTATCTCCGCGCCGATTTTCATAGCAAATTACCGCGATTTTCAAAAGTTAAGAACACCGCTTGGTAAAATTTTCTGCTGCGTATAATACAACCGAACTGCGTTTTTTCCCCCAGTTTCAGGCTCAAAAAGGGGGGTGCGTATTTTACACCAATGCATATTATATTCGGCCAAATACGGTATATGTACTACATATGTATACCTAGTGTAACACATGAAAAACTGCTTAAATGGGAAATGACCAACCCCTGTACACTTATATATATTATACATCTAGTGTAACAGGAAAAAATGCTTAAATGGGAAATGACCTTAACAACCTCATCCAGACCAGTCTATTTCTATTTCTAATAATCACAAATCCTATGGTGGCATATTTATGCCATCCACATAATTTTTTGTCAATATAAGATATCGCATCAAGTCAAGATAGCTATCTCGTCAAATCAAGAAAAGTTTCTGGTTTTGTCGAGATACACCAACTTCTATCTCGTCTAATCAAGATAATCTATCACATTTTGTTGTGATAGCTATCTCGACATAACGAGATAATTTATCATGTATCTTGACTAAAAATTGTTGCGTTGACAAGTACTGCCTCTTCGTAATTGCAGCCACGATAACTGCATATACCAGTATATAAACAGATAACGTGTTACGGGTGCCTCGGTCAATTTCTAATGAAATAAGTGGATATCTTCTATCAAATTGTTACTGTAATAAGTATTGCACGCATAATTTCAAAGAAATTCAGTTTGAACGAATGAATGTGTGTTCAAACCGTGTCTTTGTTTTCAGTAAAATCAAATACAAGTACGTGTGAACCAAACCAATGAGCTTTTTACTTATTTACATGTAATATTTGAAATTATAAATTCAATAAATTTGCTATTCAATTAAATAAACGATTTATTTGGTTTATCAGAGATCAATACTTGGCTATCATATTATTATCGGTAGTTTTTTAAAAAATGATTAACTCTTTGCATTAATTGTTTTACTTATGCCATGCCAGTAACTAAGAAAAGACCAAAAGTGGAAATTATGAATCAAGTAAATGGGTTGTTTTATTTCATATTTAATAGAGAAAGTTTATACAACATTTTTATATTCAAAAATCTTTATCTCTTAAAAATTACATTCCTCCAATACACAAATACAAAGATTAAATTGGTTCAATAGCAGTGGTGAATTTGACAAATAATTTCTGATCAATAAAAGAAATCCGCATAGTTTCACTGGAAAACGACTGAGACACCCATAACACGTCATCTATTTAAATTAGGGATGTCAATTTTGTCAATAATTAATATTCCAATATTCAATGAAAGTATTTGAATATATTCGAATATTCGATAAAATAAATAAAATCTGGTTTATTTTAAATACCGGTATGCATCATCCTCCTCTCATGAAAGATTTAGCGTAGGTATTCTTATATTGGAAGTAAAATTGTATGAAGACTTTTGTATATGTACAATAAGGAATTCCATTTGATATTTGTCAATGTTTGAAATAAATAATTGCATGATTTAAATGTAGAAAAGTATAATTTTAACAAATGATGCATGTGTATTTATAGTAGCTCCGAGGAACCACTCGCCTTACCAAGGATAGTCGTATACTGTTCAGATTTCAATACATGTAATTAATTACAATTATCAACCTGATAAGAGATATGATTATAATCTTTGATACAATGTTTTTAAAATATAAACAAATATTACCATAGACAATTTTCCTAGGTAATTAACTAATTTCCCGATAATGAATATAAAATTCAAGATTATGTACAACCCGAGATAATCAAGTAATTTACACATTTATTCTGAAATGGAGCCCTTTACAATATTAATTACAGACTAATTCTATCAGATAATCATTCAATGATCAATTAAATTTATTTTGATAAGTTTACTCTTCAGGTCTTTTAGACATTCTAAGAAGATTTTCATTTTGTTGTCCTCGATTCTAGATCCGATCGTATTTATTTAATAAAAACTAGGAAAATACGTTTTGTATTATACATAAAGCATTGTTGTATAATTCTTTAATACCTTACTCAAAACAAAATAATTTAGTAGATTTATATGATATAAAAAAGTGGTGAAAGAAATCAGGCGATCGAAATTGATCGAAATTTAACAGAGATAATTCCAGCACTGTTCTAATCAAAATTTATTAAACACAGTACTTCTTTTTACGAAATCTGAAAAACACTGAATATTTGAATCTTAAATTCATATTCGAATATCAACTCATCGAATGAATATTCGAATGTTCGAATATTCGTTGACATCCCTTATTTAAATACATACATATATGAGTATACAGTTATCGTGACAGCAATTACGAAGAGGCAGTACTTGTCAAAAATTTTAGTCATAATACAAGATAAATAATCTCTTCATGTCAAGATAGTTATTGCAAAAAAATGTGATAGATTACCTTGACTTGACGAGATAGAAGTTGGTGTATCTCGACAAAACCAGCAACTTATCTTGACTTGATGTGATAGTTATCTTGACTTGACGCGATATCTTATGTTGACAAAATTTATTTGGATGGCATAAATATTGCCACCATACAAATCAGATAAATCTTTTCAGAAGAGAAGCAGTTAGAATAATTTTATATATTATGAACATATTCTTACTAACTACTGCAGAACTTTTATTGAGAGTAATATTAGGAAACACTTATCTCAATCTCAATGGACAATACTTTATTCTACCTCTATTGAAATCTGACAGAAGTTGTTTGAGATCATTTTAAAAATTTATATGGATATTTTATCTCTAAAAAGGATCCTTTGATCTGTAGAGCTTAACTTAGTGCTCCAATTTACAGTATACAAGAAATTATACCCAAAAAATACCTCTGAAACATTGAAAGAGTAGCTTGTTTGGTTGAACTTGGGCAAGTTGTCATTTATATCCATCACTGTGATCTTCACTTCTGTATCGTTGGAATGAATGCCATCACTGACCCCCACCTATAAATATATAAATACCCTTTAAATTCACCTACAGGAGTCCAATAAAACTTGAGCTTTTTGTCAGCATAAAAAAAACTGGGTGTTTTTGAAACTTTAGGCTCAAAGTTTATTAAATTCTATACCTAGCTACACAAAGATGTGAAATATTGGTGTAAAAGTATATCACGCTGTAACTAAAAGAACAATTTTGAAAAACACAACTACACACCATCAGATTTGGCATGTTGATATCACATATCAAGGAACATGAAAAATTATGTTCCTCCAAGAAAACATGGACCAAAACTGACATTAAAATATTTCCATGCTAATTTAAATTTTACAGTTAGTTTGTAAAACAAAGCATATGATTGCTTACATAAGTTCATGTTAATAACCCAAACAGAAAGGTAAGTTAATATTATCTTACCTGTAAACAAATAACCCAAACAAAAAGGTAAGTTAATATTATCTTACCTGTAAACTAATAACCCAAACAAAAAGATAAGTTAATCTTATCATATATGTAACTGATAACCCAAACATAATACATGTATACAAATATTGATGGGGTTGAGGGCAACATTGATTGTGTTAGCCTCCAAGGGATGAAATATTGCCCGACGCAGAGTGGATGTCACTATTTTCTTCCAGAGGAGGCTAACATAATCAATGTTACCTGAAAACACAGTCAGTAATTGTTTTGTTATATGAAAAACAAAACAAATCAATAAAATAATATTTTGATATCATTCATTGAAATTCAGCAACTCATTTATCCTGCATGTTGATTGTACTTAACAACCAAATCTTCAATTTGATCATGTTACTTGGTTTTTTATTGTGACGTTAGGTTTTTTGGAAGTCGCCACGGTATCACTACGTCACAATAACTCAGTCTACTAATGAGAATCAAAATCAATAATATTGTAGGAAAATTCTCTGTGCCGGTCAACAGTAAAAACAAGAAGTCTGTGAGCCAATGCTCACTAGTAATACCCCCGCTCTGATGTGTATTGTGAATATACACTATAAGCATGGATAAATAGGAAGTTGACATCGGATTCACACAAAAATAAATCCCACCATATGGCATACCTAAACAAAGAGTGTGTTAAAATTTCAAGCATCTGTGATGAGTAGTAGCTGAGAAAACTGTGACGAAAATTTGTTATGTATGGTACGGACAGATGCACGGATAAACAAGAAGTTGACATCGGATTCATACAAAAATAGATCCCACCATATGGCATGCCTAAACAAAGAGTGTGTTAAAATTTCAAGCATCTGTGATGAGTAGTAGTTGAGAAAACTTCGACGAAAATTTGTTATGTATGGTACGGACAGACGCAAGGATAAACAGGAAGTTGACATCGGATTCTTACAAAAATGAATCCCACCATATGGCATGCCTAAACAAAGAGCATGTTAAAATTTCAAGCATCTGCAATGAGTAGTTGCTGAGAAAACTGTGACGAAAATTTGTTATGTATGGTACGGACAGACGCATGGATAAACAGGAAGTTGACCACGAATTCGTACAAAAATAAATCCCACTATATGGCATGCCTAAACAAAGAGTGTGTTAAAATTTTAAGCACCTGCAATGAGTAGTTGCTGAGAAAACTGCGATGAAAAATTTGTTATGGACAGACAGACAGACAGACAAGGGTAAAACAGTATACCCCCCCGCTACTACGGAGCGGGGGTATAATTAAATGACTGTCAATATTTTTTGGAGGAACTACATGTAATATCAATTATGTTTCTCTATATAGAGAATATAGAGACTTTTCTTTACTGAATATAACAAAGGTTAGTAATATTATCTTACCTGTAAACTAATAAACCAAACACAAACTTCAGATAAATTTATAAATTGATATTATCTTACCTGTAAACTAATAACCCAAACCTAACAGTAAACTAGATATCATTGAGATGGTGGCCATCTCAAAGGGCCCCGCTTTCAGCATCGAACATGAAAATGTAAGGTAGCTGAAAAGGGTTTATTTTGAAGAGGAACACTTGTGTACTATTAAGGGGTGTGTTGTTTGAGTCTAAAGGGCTTCTATGTCATCCTTGTTATAATAAAAAATGGCACGAAAATCACAAGTGCTCCATACCCTCTATCAAAAAGCCGCACAAAAATCACGAATGTTGCATATCCTTTATGAAAACTGTTGCATATCCTCTATCAAAATATGGAAGGAAAATCACAAATGTTCTGTACCCTAAGTCAATTGGTAAAGTTTGAGGCTGACTGGACTTAAGAGAAAGAAACCATGCACCGAACAAAGATTTTAAACAGAGAGGATATTTTTGACCTTGACCCTTGACCTAGAAACTTCATTCAAGGTTACTGCACATCCATTGACCAGTAGCACTCTGAGAGTGAAGTATGAGCCACATTGGACCAAAAGGAGAGAAGATATGCTCCAGACAAGGATTTTTCATATAATTCTGCTATGACCTTGACCTTAGACCTAGAAACATGGTTCAAGGTCACTGCACACCCTTAACCCAAAGACACTCTGTGGGTGAAGTATGAGCCAGATTGGGCCAAGGAGAGAGAAGATATGCTCCGGACAAGAGATCTTGGACGGTCAGACGGACGGACAGACTGATCACTATAGGGCGCCCGCAGAGTGGGGCCCTAATTAATATCATCTTACCTGTATTTAATAATTCAAACATAAAGGTTAAGTAATTTTAAAAATGTTACCTTTACCTGTAAACTAATAAACCAAACATAAATGTACCTAAATATTATTTTACCTGTAAACTAATATCCTTAGGATCAGTCTCTGCATCCAGTGTTCTGTTTATCTGAAGACAGGCTTGAGCTTGATTTGGCTGACCATCAACAGTTGATAGTTTAAACACGTTCAGATTGGCATTTACAATACTAAAATTTAGCTACAAAAGAAAGAAAAGTTTGGTGAGTTGTGTATGGGAGCTATGCACTCTGTCTACGGGTGTTATTGTTATCATCTGAATTAAATGTGCTTAATGATAAAACAAGAGGCCCAGGGGCCACATCGCTCACCTGAGCACTCTGGCTAGGAAAAAGCAGAAATCAGTTCAGTCTTGAAAAGTTTAAATACAAGAGGCCCAAGGGCCTTAATGGTCACCTGAGTATAATACAACAATTTAGAAGTTAAATGCTGATAGATGAAGCTTTGTTGCCCTAAAGCAAGAGAAGTAGGAAGATCAGGATCAACAAAATAATTACTCTAGTATTCAGTATCAACTCATAAATTAAGTTCTAATCTGTCCCCCACTTAACACTATCACCATGCAGACTATTAACAAACTATTAGTGCTTCTGTACTATTTTTGAACCCATATTAAGACCTTTAGCATTGACCTCTCTTATGGTCTTTGAAGAACTTTTAATAAGATAAGTTATTTTTGTCTCATTTTTATTTATCTATTACTTACAGGTCTACCTGATTATTAAAACTAAGGCCAAAGTTTTTTTTTCGTTTGGTTTACGATTCTGCCGACCCTAATTTTCACAAATCATGAAAATAAAAATAATGTCTTTTTCCGACATATTTTTCCGGATTTTTCTCAGCTGAACTGGTGGGTTTTAAATTTTAGAATGCATCTTAGTCAAATAAGCGCTTATAAATATATGAGACCTTTACAAACATTTAGGTGACCGTAAATAAACACATGTGCTAACCAAAAATGGCGGCTCTGTCATGTAACAAGGTAATTCCTCACTGAAAGCAATGACACACACTTTAAGAACTTTTTCTGCATGGAAAAGTGAATAAAATCTTGGATAAATGATCCCTTTCTCCAATTGCAATGTCTCAATTGGCTGAATTCATACCGTAATATTGGAGAGTGTATGCCCAACCCTGATTGACTTAGCAGACATGGATACACCTATAGATAATAAGGATTTATCAGTGCCTTCTCAGGGGCCCAAGTTCGGCCCATTCCCAATTGAAAATGAGTTCAGTTTTTCCGAATTTGGCAGTATTTTTTCTCAAATAGTGAACAATGCTTTTATTTTTAATTATCTTGGAAAAACACTGAGTAAAATTGTCAGATTGTCTGTAATTTTAACTCATTTAGCAAAGCTACAGTCATAACACATGTTTAAAAATACTGTAAAAACATCGCCAACTTTTAATCCGAATTTCCTCTGTTTTTCTAAAAATGATGATATTGTGTAATTATATAGATTTATTAAGTTATTTCCACCTACTCATTTGATCTGCGAGTTAATGGTAAGAACTTCGGGCATTATTTCAGATAGAAAAATATATTTTCAATGCATAAATACATATTAAAAGAGGACTTTTAGAAAATGTGTACTTAGTATAATTTTTTGCAGGAGGTTTATAATCTCCAGAAACAGATACTATAATGATCTAAATTGAAATCTCATACACACATGTACATGTACTACCCTAAGTTGCATTAATGCTTTATACTCATTGAAGTCCATTTTACTTTTATTAGTCTATTATTCATAATTGATTTTGTACGAATAAGATGGATCATATTTAATTGTCATTTGGTTGCCCAAATTAGAGTTCGTGCTGAAATGTTAAATGAATTACCCCTGAGTACATGATTTAAGCAACATTTTAAAAAAAAATTGCAATTTCATCAAATAGCCGATAATTTTTTCCCAATTCCCCAAAAATGGTGTTTCCCAAAATAAGCTGATAAATCCATGGATAATAGTTAGGCCAATTTAGTGCTGAGAGATACATCTTAGTTGAAGCAGCGTTGACTGGTATTTCACTGGATAAATTCAAATGTGTATAAAACATCTGTTAGTTTATAGAAGTAAATTCAATATACAAATCTTTGCAAATTTCATACTCAATTGAGATTAAAGAACTTTGAATTACTAATAAATAATGAGCATTGCCTACTGTGCAGGTACACAACAAACATTTAAAGAAGGACTTGATTGAGAAATTATTAGGCCTTTTTGCCGCAGGTTGAACATTAAATTTGATAGCTGCATGATCAAATTATTATAACCTTTATTTCAACGTCAATTACTTTTAATATTGTTAAACACTTAAATTGTATTTTTCTTCAATCTAAATTTAACTTGAATTTGGATCCTTATTTTTAGTTTGTGGGGATACCAAGGTTTATAACACATCACATATCACTGAAGAGCACAAAATGTTGAACATTATACACCTATTTACTGGCTATGAGGACAATAGCAAGTTTATCGTCCCCCAAGACAGCGACTATTTCCCGAGGCGCAGCCGAGGGAAATAGTTGCTGTCGAGGGGGACGGTAAACTTGCTATTGTCCGAATAGTCAGTAAATAGGTGTTTTATTATACCGAAGCCGACTTTACTTTTGTTACGTCACAAACCAGATACGTCACAATACAACAACCCATAATAGTTTTGAGATGAAAAACGAGGGAAATGGAATGCTTCCGGTGAATAGTTTGATGACTATTTCACCATGGGCAAATAGCACAAAAACTATTCCACGGTAGGGGCTGTTTAGAAAAAATAGAAGATTTATTTGTCATACTTTTATGTAGAAAAAAATTCACAGAGGTGTAATAACATGAACCAAGCACTGATTGACAAACAAAAATCAGAACTATATGTAAATGAAAATGACATTCAGTCTAAAGTTAGAAATGAATTAAAATTAATAAAAAGAGTTATGTGATCTAGACAATAAATCTTAAAAGTACTATTGACATGTATTATTTTTATTAAAATAAACATTGCTGTTATTTTAAAATGAAATTGTTGAATCCTAAATTATTTTTATTTTTATTTTTCGACCACCCAATGCATTTTTTTGAGACAGAAAATTGTAAACCAAAAAAAATAAAAACTTTGGCCTAAGAAAGTACTTTTTGAATTATACAATAAACATTCTTGCATACTTATCTTATTCTATTAACCTTTCAAATACATTATTTACAGTGATTAATTATCAAAGGTGAATGGAAAAGGGGAATAACTTCTCTCAAGAGGATACAAATTAATAGAGCCCTGTCCAGGACCAGAATGCTTAGACAAATGGTCCAGATGTTCAAAAATCTGGTAGAAATACGCTTACTTATATCATTTAAACTTTTACTCAGTTTGTTTCCAATATGCCCAGAAGCAGAGAAGAATGTCACTGGTACAATGCATTTTCAATACAGATTCAACAAAGGCTTACCCTAACACCAGAACCCAAGACCAATGGTCAAGAAATTTACAAATTTGGAAGAGTTACCCTCATCATCATAACTATGGACTTCAAAGAATTAACACTTTTCCACTATATTATCAAAAGCCCCCCCCCCCCTCGTTATGCCAGAACCCCTGACCCTAGGACCACAAGATTTAAAAATTCTGTACGAAGCTCCATTTTCATCATAGCTATGCAATTTATTTATCAGCTCAAGACTAAGGAACAGACAGGATTAATTAATGATTAATTAATAGAATTAATGCTTTTTCACTATATAATCAATAGAGCCCCCCCCCCTCCCCAAGAACCCCAAAAACTGAGGCCATATATTTAAAAAATTTGGAAGAGGCATCCCTGCCTATCATAATCATGCACTTAGTTTGTTTAAATAATCTCCAGTAGCAGAGAAGAAGATTTTCAAAGAATCAATGCATTTTCACTATATAATCAATAGAGCCCCGCCCTAACACCAGAACCCTGACCCTGGGGCCATGAAATTCACAATTTTTGAAAAGGCATCCTTATGCATCATAACTATGTACTTAGTTATTTTTTTTGATACCCAGGAGCAGAGGAGAAGATTTTCAAAGAATTAATGCATTTTCACTATATAATCAATAGAGCCCCGCCCTTACACCAGAATCCCTGGCCCTGGGGCCATGAATTTTACAATTTTGAAAGAGGCACTCTTGCTCATCATAACTATGTACTTACTTAGTTTATTTAATACCCAGGAGCAGAGAAGAAGATTTTCAAAGAATTAATGCATTTTCACTATATAATCAAAAGAGCCCCACCTAACACCAGAACCCCTGACCCTGGGGCCATGAATTTCACAATTTTGGAAGAGGCACTCTTGCTCTTCATAACTATGTACTTAGTTACTTTATTTAATAACCAGGAGCAGAGAAGAAGATTTTCAAAGAAATAATGCACTTTCACTATATGATCTATATAGCCCCACCCTGGGGCCAGAACCCCTGACCCTGGGGCCATGAATTTCACAATTTTGGTAGAGGGCTCAGTGCTTATTACAATGATGCCAACAGTTTGACTGCTTGATGTCCAGGAGTAAAGAAGAAGATTTTTAAAGATTGCATTATTTTTGGTGGTTTTAGCCCCACCCCTCAGGCCCCATGGGGGCAGGGACCATGAAATTCACAATTTTTGTTTCCCTTTACCCATAGATGCTATATGCCAAATTTCATTGAAATTGGTTAAGCGGTTTCAGAGAAGAAGCTAAAAATGTTCAAATGTTAACACTTGACGCACGCCGACGGACAAGAACGGATAGCAATAGGTCACCTGAGTGACTCAGGTGACCTAATAAAACTGGTTTGGGGGGAGGGGATATTTGAACTAACTTGAATCTAAACTTCATAGGGATGCTTTTGAATTAATATGACAAATAATGGCTTTGCTGTTCTTAAGAAGAAAATTTTAATATATCCTTTGTATGATCCCCTGTTATGGCCCCTCTATTCTCCAGGGGATCATCATTTGTACAAATTTGAATCTACATTACCTATTTAAATATGACCCATCATGGGTTTGCTGTTCTTGAGAAGAAGATTTTTAAAGATGTTCCCTATATATTCCAGTGTAAAACTTTGATCGCTCATTGTGACCCCACCCTTCACCCGGGGGTCATGATTTGAACAAATTTGAATCTACACTACCTGAGGATGCTTCCATATAAATATGACCAATCATGGCTTTGCTGTTTTTGAGAAGAAGATTTTTAAAGATTTTTCCTGTGTTTTCTTATGTAAAACTTTGATTGCCCATGGTGGCCCCACCCTATCCCTGGGGGTCATGACTGGAACAAACTTGAATCTACACTACCTGAGGATGCTTCCATATAAGTTTCATATTTTCTAGCACAGTGGTTTTTGAGAAGAAGATTTTTAAATTATGCCATTAATTTTTCATGAATTCATAATTATCTCCCCTTGGAAGAAGGCGTGGTCCTTCATTTGAATAAAATTGAATCCCCTTTACCCAAGGATACTTTGTGGCAAGTTTGGTTGAAATTGGCCCAGTGGTTCTTGAGAAGAAGATGAAAATTTGAAAAGTTTACCACAACGATGACAACGATGACAGACAACGGACAAATTTCAATCACAAAAGCTCACTTGAGCCTTCGGCTCAGGTGAGCTAAAAAAGTCCTTGTGAAAAGTTCATACTTAAATGAAAATGACATTCATTTAAGAAATGAATTTAATTTTTGAAGATTCATGAGTACATGAACTACGATGCTTCACGCCAGCTTATTTCATGAAGGGCGTTAGTGCTTCATGATAAATATGCCGGCGTGAAGCGTTGTAGTTCATGTACCTCATGAATTTTCAAAAATTAAATTCATTTCTTATATTAACATAATTTCTCTGACAAGTTGCCACAAATTATGCCATTCAACTGTCATTTACAGTTCGCACTATAGTTTTGACATCAAGTAGGGTACAATGACGTAACAATGGAGATAATCATGCTCATCCATGGTAGTTCATGAGAAAATGAACTGTTTTCTATTTTGTAAAGAATCATAGGGGAAATTTATTGGAAATGTAAATATATCATTATGAATTACCATTTTGATATGAGTACTGATAAATGAATTTATAAATACCTTCTCATTCAAATCCAGATCCTTGGCAAATAATGTCAAAAGACACCTGTGTGTTTTGAAAGAATTTTCTTCAATCTGAAGATTGTATGGAATACCCGTAAAATATGGAGACTTATTGTTGACATCCTCAATATGAATAATAACCTAAAAAGACAAAAAAAAAAATGCAATTTCTCTTTGATCTCTTCATCATAGGGCAGGTAAACACAACACTGAACACTTGTCGATTGCCTGAAAGGTGCACTGAACACTTGTCAATTACCTGAGAGGTGCAATGAACACTTGTTGATTACCTGAGAGGTGCAATGAACACTTGTCAATTACCTGAGAGGTGCACTAACACTTGTCCATTACCTGAGAGGTGCACTGAACACTTGTTGATTACCTGAGAGGTGCACTAACACTTGTCCATTACCTGAGAGGTGCACTGAACACTAGTTGACTACCTAAGAGGTGCACTGAACACTTGTTGATTACCTGAGAGTTGCACTAATACTTGTTGATTACTTGAGAGGTGCAATGAACACTTGTCAATTACCTGAGAGGTGCACTGAACACTAGTCCATTACCTGAGAGTTGCACTAACACTTGTTGATTACCTGAGAGGTGCACTAACACTTGTCCATTACCTGAAAGGTGCACTGAACACTTGTCAATTACCTGAGAGGTGCACTTACACTTGTCTATTACCTGAGAGGTGCACTGAACACTTGTTGATTACCTGAGAGGTGCACTGAACACTTGTTGATTACTTGAAAGGTGCAATGAACACTTGTCAATTACCTGAGAGTTGCACTGAACACTAGTCCATTACCTGAGAGGTGCACTAACACTTGTTGATTACCTGAGAGGTGCACTGAACACTTGCTGATTACCTGAAAGGTGCACCAACACTTGTTGATTACCTGATAGGTGCACTAACACTTGTCTATTACCTGAGAGGTGCACTGACATTTTTTCATTACCTGAGAGTTGCAATTTCCATTCTCATTTGAAGCTTGAATAACCATATCTATACGGTCTCCATCTTTTTCTCTATCCAGTTCACGTAACAAACTGATTTCTCCCTACAAGATTGACAAGTACATAAGTCATTTTATATTTACAAAATGAGATTTATTGTACATGTACATATATTGACATATTCAAAATTTAGCGCATTTACTGGTATCAAGTGGTTGGTGTATTTATGAGTTAGCCCTTCATATATCCGTGCCGTGTATTTTATTTACAGTAAAACTCGTTTAGTACGAACACGAATATTGCGAATTCACGGACATAACGAAGTTTTCTTGGATCCCCAGCTATATAAATTTTATGGATTCCTTATACGGATATAACGAATTACGGATATAGCGAAGTAATTTCACAGGTCCCCAGGACTTCGCTATAACCGAGTTTTACTGTATTAATGATTCATCAAGTGTATTCATGAATTTGTGCATTGTTGTCTACACCAAATCCACTAAAATATGAAGCCAACTTTTTCAAGTATACATACAGAACAATTTTTATTTCATTTTTCTTCACGGAATATCTTATAATCAATTACTTTTAAGAAGATCTCCAGATCTGTACAGAATATTTACAAGGCAGAAAAGTTTATGTGGTCTTGCTCATAAAAAGTTTAATTTTGTGATGACAAATTCATGAACTTACAGTGTTAGAATCTATTTTGAAGGCATCCCTCAGTTTTGATATTTTGATGATGTTATACGAGATTTTACCATCACCAGTTGCATTGATCTTTGTTATAATTGTGTTTCTGGTGTGATTTTCTGAGATGTTGACTTCATTGACTTTAGGTTTAATCACAGGCTCCCCCTTTCTGCCAGATGAAATGAAATAAGTTTTGCTACTGTTGAGTTCATGGACATCAGTGGCTATGACCTGCAGGCTAAAGTTGAAATTTTGAGAAGCTATATTCTGTGCAGTAAATATTTCTCCATGGTCATTAATTTTGAAGTTTTGTGAAGGATCTATTAAGCTGTATGTAACTTGATCATCTTCTTTGTTTCCCGTGCACTTAGAATCAAAATCTTTAGCAGTAACTTTCGCAATGCTGGTGTTGTTCTTTATGGGAGGATTGACACAGACATCAAAGACGATATCTTTAAACTCAGGCTCTTCATTAACATTGATAACATTCACTGTAACAGTCCCTGTAGAAGACATTGGGTTAAAGCCTTGATCTTTAGCTTCTACTTTCAATGTGTAATGCTTGTCGTGTCTATCACATTTCAGTGTTCTATTTAGAGTAATCTCCCCTGTTAAAGGGTTGATTTTAAAAGCTGTATCCCCTTCAACCAATTTGTACATTATTTCCCCTTCTTTTCCATTGTCATGATCTGTAGCTGTCATATTATATACAGAATGGGGAAACAAATGTTCCTTAACATCAACTGTTACAGTCTTGTTGGAAAACACAGGACTGAAATTGTTTGCAGCAATGACAAAAATTTTGATGACTGCCTTACTCCTGAGGGGGGGACTGCCATGATCACTGACTACAAGACTGACATTGTATGTAAAATTTGCCTTCAGTGCCTTGTCTGGCAGTACTGATAGTTCACCAGTGTCAGTGTCAATGCTAAATATTCCATAGGACTGTGTGAGAAAGAATGTAAAACTACCACTGTTCAGATCAGCATCGGTGGCACTAACACTACATAGAGGTCCGGAGGAGTTCTGAGCTATCGGATACAGACAGGAGCTGGTGTTGATCACTGGTGGATTGTCGTTGATGTTCTCTACTGTTATTCGGATTACGGATGTGCTGTTACAGCTACGTATGGAGTTGTCAGTGACAGTTACTGTTAAGTTTATATCTGTAGACTGATCATTATCAACATCTAGGGTAGTCTGATTTTCTAGTACTAGTTTATTCCCATTAAAAGTAAACTTTTCATTATTTTTGACTTGGTAAACTAATTTGTATGGGGGTGTGTCCTTATCTTGTGCAGACACCTAAAAGGATAAAATAAACTTATGGTAGTATTACTGGTCAATAAGTACATCATACGATTACCTGTGAATAAGTACATCATACAACTACCCGTCCATAAGTACACAAATTTAATAAAGTTACCTGTAACAAGAGGCCCAGGGGCCACATCGCTCACCTGAGCACTATGTCAAGGAAAAAGCAGAAATCAGTTCAATCTTGAAAGGTTGAAAAAATATAAATAAAAAAGTGGTTTCGGGGGGGGGGGGGGGGGGGGGGGGGGGTCATGAATTGAACAAATTTGAATCTACACTACCTGCGGATGCTTCCATGTAAATATGACCAATTATGGCTTTGCTGTTCTTGAGTAGAAGATTTTTAAAGATTATTCCTATATATTCCTATGTAAAACTTTGATCGCCCATTGTGGCCCCATCCGACCCCGGGGGTCATGATTTGAACAAACTTGAATCTACACTACCTGAGGATGCTTCCATGTAAATATGACCAATCATGGCTTTGCTGTTCTTGAGAAGAAGATTTTTAAAGATTTTTCCTATATATTCCTACGTAAAACTTTGATCGCCCATTGTGGCCCCATCCGACCCCGGGGGTCATGATTTGAACAAACTTGAATCTACACTACCTGAGGATGCTTCCATGTAAATATGACCCATCATGGCTTTGCTGTTCTTGAGAAGAAGATTTTTAAAGATTTTTCCTATACATTCCTATGTAAAACTTTGATCGCCCATTGTGGCCCCACCCGACCCCCGTGGGTCATGATTTGAACAAATTTGAATCTACACTTCTGAGGATGCTACCATATAAATATGACCAATCATGGCTTTGCTGTTCTTGAGAAGAAGATTTTTAAAGATTATTCCTATATATTCCTATGTGAAACTTTGATCACCCATTGTGGCCCCACCCAACCCCCAGGGGTCATGATTTGAACAAACTTGAATCTACACTACCTGAGGATGCTTCCACATAAGTTTCATATTTTTAAGCACAGTGGTTCTTGAGAAGAAGATTTTTTAATGATGCCATTAATTTTTCACGTATTCTTAATTATCTCTCCTTGGAAGAAGGCGTGGCCCTTCATTTGAACAAACTTGAATCCCCTTTACCCAAGGATACTTTGTGGCAAGTTTGGTTGAAATTGGCCCAGTGGTTCTTGAGAAGAAGATGAAAATGTGAAAAGTTTACAACCACAACGACAACAACGACTACAACAACAACAATGACGACAGACAACGGACAAATTTTGATCAGAAAAGCTCACTTGAGCCTTTGGCTCAGGTGAGCTAAAAAACTACATATTATCTTTCCACTTACCTGTCCACTTACCTGTCAATAAGTACAAAGTACAGAACCTGTCAATATGTATAAAGCACAGTTACCTGTCACTTAGTATAATTAAAAGTACATGTCAGTAACCTTCCAATAAGTACAATGTACAGTTATCTGTTGTTTAGTATAAAGTCCACTTACCTGTCATCAAGTATAAAGTCAAGTCACCAGTCAATAAGTACAAAGCACAATAACTTTTGAATAAGTACAAAGTACAGTTTCTGTCACTACATACAAAGTATTCCCTTGAATCTGTAAACAATAACAATGTAAAGTTAGCTGTCAAAAAGTACACTGTAAAGTTACCTGTCAGTAAGTATACTGTAAAGTTACCTGTCAATAAGTACAATGTAAAGTTAGCTGTCAAAAAGTACAATGTAAAGTTAGTTGTCAATAAGTACAATGTAAAGTTACCTGACAATAAGTACAATGTAAAGTTACCTGACAATAAGTACAATGTAAAGTTACCTGTCAATAAATACAATGTAAAGTTACCTGTCAATAAGTAAACTGTAAAGTTACCTGTCAGTAAGTAAAATGTAAAATTACCTGTCAATAAATACAATGTAAAGTTACTTGTCAGTATGTCAGTAAGTATACTGTAAAGTTACCTGTCAATAAGTGCAATGTAAAGTTACCTGTCAATAAGTGCAATGAAAGTTACCTGTCAATAAATACATTGTAAAGTTACCTGTCAATAAATACAATGTAATGTTACCTGTCAATAAATACAATTGTAAAGTCACCTGTCAATAAGTACAATGTAAAGTTATATGTCAATAAATACAATGTAAAGTTACCTGTAAGTAAGTAAAATGTAAAGTTACTGGTCAATAAATACAATGTAATGTTACCTGTCAATAAATACAATGTAAAGTTACTTGTCAGTTAGTACAATGTAATGTTACCTGACAATAAATACAATATAAAGTTACCTGTCAATAAATACAATGTAAAGTTATTTGTCAGTAAGTATACTGTAAAGTTACCTGTCTATAAGTACACTGTAAAGTTACCTGTCAGTAAGTAAAATGTAAAATTACCTGTCAATAAATACAATGTAAAGTTATTTGTCAGTAGGTATACTGTAAAGTTACCTGTCTATAAGTACACTGTAAAGTTACCTGTCAGTAAGTAAAATTACCTGTCAATAAATACAATGTAAAGTTACTTGTCAGTAAGTATACTGTAAAGTTACCTAACAATAAGTACAATGTAAAGTTACCTGTCAATAAGTACACTGTAAAGTTACCTGTCAGTAAGTAAAATGTAAAATTACCTGTCAATAAATACAATGTGAAGTTACTTGTCAGTAAGTATACTTTTAAATTACCTAACAATAAGTACAATGTAAAGTTACCTGTCAATAAGTACAATGAAAAGTTACCTGTCAATAAATACACTGTAAAGTTACCTGTCAATAAATACAATGTAACGTTACCTGTAAGTAAGTAAAATGTAAAGTTACCAGTCAATAAATACAATGTAATGTTACCTGTCAATAAATACAATGTAAAGTTACTTGTCAGTAAGTACAATGTAAAGTTACCTGACAATAAATACAATATAAAGTTACCTGTCAATAAATACAATGTTAAGTTACTTGTCATTAAGTATACTGTAAAGTTACCTGTCTATAAGTACAATGTAAAATTACCTGTCATTTAGTACAATGTAAAGTGTCAAAACTATGTGTTCCTGTTATTAAGTACCAGTGTACCTGTCAACAAGAGACTCATGGGCCACAATGCTCACCGAGTAACTATGGCCTTCATCAGCAGATTCTTTTTCCTATGACTTCCCATGTAAAACTTTCATCACATAGTGGCCCAGTCCCAACCCAAGGGGTCATGATTTGAACATACTTGAATGTAAACTACCTTGAGAAAGCTTCCATATAAACATGAATAATTTAATTCTGATTGTAACGCGCCATTTGATTGGAAAAAAAAAAATTACTTTATATCGTATAAATTGGGTTCACAATGACTTTCGTCAAAAATGTATCGATCCGCCTGATGTTACATTTAAATTTTGTACAATTTGAAGTCATTTTTTAAGGGCAATCATCTTTTTTCTTACACTAAATGAATGAACAAAATTAAATTATAAGGAATGAAATTAATAGCTACCAAATTTATACGGTATAAAGAGGGTTGAACAGTTTACGCTTTTTTATAAACCGCTTCGCAGTTTATAAAGCTTAAAATGCCCCAACCCACTTTATACTGTATAAATTGGGTAGCTATTAATTTCATTCCTTAAATAATCTTGACTTTGCTGTTCTTGAGAAGATTTTAAAAGATTTTTCCTATGTAAAACTTTGACTGACCATTGTGGCCCAACCCTACCCCAGTGGGTCATGGTTTGAACAAATCTGAATTGACAACACCTGAGGATGCTTCCATATAAATATGACTGATCATATATATATATATATATATATATATATATATATATATGTGGCTTTGCCGTTCTTGAGAAGAATATTTTTAAACATTTTTCCCTCTGTATTCCTATGTAAAACTTTGATCACCCATAGTGGCCCCACCCTACCCCGAAGGGTCATGATTTGAACAAACTTGAATATGCTCTATGTCAGAAATCTTTCACATAAGTTCACTTAAGTTTCACATAAGTTCTTTTTTTCTCTGCCCTTGGAGCAGAGTATGGCCCTTAGTAATGTACCGATAATAAGATTTGATGTTAACAAAAAAATGCTACCAAATCCGATGATCAATTATTATTTTCAAAAACAAGCATCGGAAACGTACTTCTTATAAAATGAATTCCGAATTATCCATTCCCGGTTTAAAATTTATTTCTTCGTAATGAAAGAAATTGGTGTCTGCACCTGATACAGGTGATTAAGAACCAAATGTGTTTTAATATAGAAAGTATAAAAGAAGCAAAACAAGAAAGAAAACTATCTATTATATATTTCATATATTCATGTTAAAGAAAAAATATGAAATACTTGTAATAGTCTGCTTTTTATATACAAAACTATGACATCCAATTATAATCGGTAAAATCTCATCATAACCAATGACCGATTATGAAAATTTACCGATGTCCAATCACTAATAGCCCTTTATTTAAACAATTTTGAAATCCCTTTACTCACGGATACTCTCTGCCAGTTTGGTTGAAACTGGCCCAGTAGTTCTGGAGAAAATGACGAAAATGTGAAAAGTTTACAACAATGATGACAAAAACTGTGACAATGACGACGTACAACAGACAAATTTTGATCAGAAAAGCGCATTTAAGCCCTTGAATCAGGTGAGCTAATGAGTGTAAAGTACATTACCTGTCAATAAGTACAAAATATAGTTACCTGTTTATTAAGTACATTGTAATGTTACCTGCAGGATGTCGTTGTATGTTTTGTTTTCTTTGATAGCCACGGTATACAGAGATGAACTAAAGACTGGACAAGTATCATCTACATTTGTCAGGTGAACCTCCACAGTAGCCTCCCCTGACAGTGGAGGCTGACCATCTACAAAGCGGTGGTAGAACACTTCATTTTACATTCATCAACACAAAAAAACATCAATGTAATTTAACTTTCATATAACTCCCAAAGCCAAGACTATGGTATTGTTGCAGAAACTATTTTTTGAACAGTACAACAAAGGTTTAACATATTATATCCTGTAAATGTATTATATTTATTGTTTAAGATATTTGATAAATGATTCTTCAGCAAGTTTGTGAAGACTTAATTGATTTAGCACTTGCTGAATGTGCTAGATATAAATATATATACACACATATATACACAAAACATTTAGCAATTGATTTACAGAAGCTGCTTTCTACCAAAGGCACTAAATACAATACAAAGTCAAATGTACATTATCAATACTGATTTTAAATTCTTTCTTTTACCATCTTTGGCTATCAGTTGCAACACATATGTTTGCTGCCTCTCATAATCCAATGTATTGTGATCATTCTTTAAGAACAGGACTCCTGTTGTTTTATCTATTGAAAACAATTCTCTCTTGTTTTTCAGGGCGTATGTTACTGTCTGGCCTTCATCTCTATCACTAGCACTGATCTGCAGCAATTAAAACAATTAAATTGCATTAACTAGTTCTAAATTAATTAAAACCATATCAGCTTATCATCAAGCATTCACAAATACACGTGACACCACTACCGGTAGTTCCATAGATTTTTAAATTGGATAACATTTTTGATTAGAAAATATTTTAATCAGTTGAATTTACTTGACAGTTTTGATCATAATAGGCAAGATTGGGAAAACACAACATTTGGATTACTCAAGTTTTACTATATATCCAATACTATATTATAGGGTTATTGATATTATATTGAGGAATATAATGAGTTGGCTGTTCAGAGTGCACAAGCTTGCAAGTGCATTTGTACAGCCAATGAGTGCTAGTATTCACCAATACAAGTTCTCTATCTTCTTTTTTTTATAGTTTAAACCTTTCTTCATTGTTTTATATTGATCTTATAAAGTAAAATTACTGAGAATTATTTCGTACTGGTATCTTCAGTAAAATATCAGCATCTGTCTTGTATCACATCAGTCACTAAGGCCCCTGACCCTGGGGCCAATACCCTTAAAATTCATAAACCCTCTACTTACTCATATAAAATGTTTCTTTAATGCTATATATTTCGTGAAAGAAAAGTACTTTATGAGTAAAATACAAACAATTATAGCATAACTTGTGGTGCAATATTGGACAAAAAATTCATTTCAACATGACAAATTTAACAATTAAAGAATAATAGTATTTATTTAATTAAGAGTTATCTTTCTTATCAGAGTATCAATGAACCTTAATACATTATGATTTTTTTTATTGAGGGTTTTATAGAAGCTTACAGGTAATACCTTCATCAATGATAAAATCCAACTTATTAATTCTGCAATCCCTTGTGAAAAAAGAATAATCAAAATTTTATCAAGAGTTGATGTTGATCAACAATAATCTGCCATTTTTCCTACAGCAGGATGTTCAGAATGTTTCAGAAATACTGTAAACCAACAAATACCTGTAAGATTCACAAGCAATTAAAGCTTGCAGATACTAGTCACTCACTATGCCATGTTTATTTCACATAAGTGGTAAATATCATGATCATATTTAGGACAGTGATGGGCAGCAAGTTGTGTAGTGGATGTTTTCAAAATAATGAAATTACCTTTCATTCTTTATTGACATTCAAATATAATTAATAATAATTAGGGATGTCAAAATATTTATTTTCCTTAGTCGATTATTCGATTGCAATATTCGAACGATAGTCAAATATTCGGAAATATCTTATTTCAAACTTCACTGGAACATGACGCATTTATAACTCAAAAACCCTTTTACTTAAATCTATTTAAAAAGTATCATCAAAATTAATGAAACGTAACACGTGGATGAAATAAATATGGAGACCTTATTCTCCAAAATGTATGATTTCCCCCATCAATTGAATTCATAAATTCATGCAGTTTTTATATTTTTGTAAGCATTAAAAAATTGCCAGCAGATATTTTTTAAAGCTTATTATGAAATAAATTGGGGGTGTAATCTAAAACAATCAACAAGTCAGTTGCCTGTGAAATTGTTAAACAGTTAGATATGCTTATTCATTTATTAATTGCTCTGGCTATCAAAATGTCCTTAAACAGTTTCAAATGTAATGGATTTATTTTCCAATTGTCAAAACATTCTCACAACAATGGTTTGTTCCTTGCATTTGAGCAATCGTAAGATAACAAAAAAATAATTGGTACATGGTAAAAGATCAGTCCAATTAATAAATTTACAAACAAAGCCAGCTAGTATATTGGTGGGTAATTTATTACAAAAACAACATAGACACAGAAATAATTCTCGCAGTAGTGAAGCGCATACAATTACTGTACTTTCTATACGACACATGGAAAATCAACCGTTTTTTGTTGAGGAAAATTATCTTATCGACTGTCTTCGAGGAAGGACGGTTTCTCAATTTTGTAATGAGAATTCAATTTCGTTATCACTCTTTTATTGCATTTATTTTATTATAATATCATTCAAATTTCGTTTCATTATTTGATCTTTGGTCCATTCGACTGATAGTCGATTAGTAATAATGATTTTGCATGCAGTAAAAATCTGCTTCTTGTATCTTGTTCATTCATTGTTAATACACAAGAGTGGTAAATATATACAGCAATTTGAGTGATCTACCCCTTACTAAATACCAATTGTGAAGCTATCAAAACCATACTCAACAGATGCTTCAACTGAATAAATGAAAAAATATCATGGGGACTAAAAACATGTGTAAAGATCAGTGCGTTTACAAATATTTTAACATTTTTTTACTATTGACCCCTAATAGTCCTGTGTAGAAATGTCACAGCGATGATCAAAGCTGAATGCAATTTATCACAGTGTCTTTTGACCTTTTAATTGATCTACTGACCTTAATGTGAAATATCCCTCTGCTCAAAATTTCACCTTTTTTTTTAAATTCCCAACCTTGATTTTCATTAACAACAACAGCATTATAGATTCAAATGGAAAATAGTTTGGTATATGGAGCTTTGCTTACTTTTTCAGAAATGAATATTATGTCTAATCATGATATGAAAAAATTCAATATGAAGAATAGAGCGATCAATAATTTTTCATCTCACCATAAAATTAAAAATATGAGGTATGTATGAAAATAATAATTATTATCATACCTATCTAATTCACATAAGAAAACATACTGAAGCATTGCTTTTTAAATCAGAATATCACATTCTTTTCTGTGCTTGTAAAATAAAATGCATCTACAAGAGTTAATTTTCCATCTACAAGAGTTAATTATCATTCTTCAACATATTTTTAGTGAAAAAATATTGATTATTTGATTATAAAAATTCTGCATCTTAAAATTTCTGTAGCAATTAAAAGAATTATGTCAAGAGATAGAAATATCTCAATTTTAACAGTTTAAAGGAACTGCATGAGTATATTAAATGTTTTAGGTAAACTATTATTTCTTGAGATAGGATTTCTTGTGCAATGTTTGCCAAACTTGAACTGTGTAGACTTATATTAAAGTTCATAATCTCTGGAAAATTACTGACACTTCCTTTAATTATTTTCTCAAAATAATCGTCTCGTCCAGTCAAAATAAGTTGTGAAGCGATTTGTTTCTACTTTACAATTAACCAGTTATATAATTATATCAACACTCCGACGACTCTCAGGTGTAGTATCATTTATGTAAACACCCAATTAACACATCCATCCCAGCCCCATGCATTCACCGTTATCCAGGTAAGTCTAAGGTGCATTAATTTACGCTTGATTGGTCCGTGTATACCTGCGCAATCAAAACTTCGAGAGATAGAGAGCAAAAAACAATGAAATGTGCGTAACAGGACCCAGGTTTTGGTTCGAGAGATAGAGAACTTCGAGAGATCGGGAATTCTAAGATCAGAAGTAAATTTGCTTAGTTATATAGAGGAAAAAAACGGGACCAGAGGTTGACTTTGAGAGATCAAGAAACTTCGAGAGATCGGAGTTGGAGCCATCTAGAGCCATCTGTATGACTAATCATGGCTTCGCAGTTCTTGAGAAGAAGATTTTTAAAGATTTTTCTTATGTATTCCTATGTAAAACTTTGATCCACCATTGTGGCCCCACCCTACCCCCGGGGGTCATGATTTGAACAAACTTGAATCTACACTACCTCACAATGATTCCACATAAGTTTCATGTTTTCAAGCACAGTGGTTCTTAGAAGATGCCATTAATTTTTCATGAAATCATAATCATCTCGGCTTGGAAGAAGGTGTGACCCTTCATTTGAATAAACTTGAATCCCCTTTACCTAAGGATATTTTGTGGCAAGTTTGGTTGAAATTGGCCCAGTGGTTCTTGAGAAGAAGATGAAAACGTGAAAAGTTTACGACGATGACAGACAACGGTCAAATTTCGATCAGAAAAGCTCACTTGAGCCTTTGGCTAAGGTGAGCTAAAAAAAGACATTTCAACTTGCCAAATCTACAAAGGAATAATACACATTTATGTCATTAAGAGTTATCTCTCTTATCAGAGTATCACTGAACCTTAAAGTTTAGACCACATTAGGCAAGATTTTGGAACATGCAACATCCTAATTAGACAAGTTTCACTGAATTTCACAGTTTGTCACTTGGAATCAGATAGCAAATTATTTAAATAAGAACCATTTTAAAAGTAACTATATAACCTTTAAAAGGGTTTCAACAAGAATTTTATAAAATTTGTCTACATTTGTGCATAAAAGGCTTTGCATTTTCTTTGTGATTATCCTAGTGTTTTATATTTCTCTTTCATGCATAATCTTGTTATGATTAATTCTAATCCTTTACACTCTGTGAAATTGATAAAACAAATCGGTTTGGGGATTTTTCTTCAAAAAATAAATTTACAATTAGGACCGGTACATATATCACTATTCAATATTCATAAATTTAGTTTGAAAATTTGCTAGAGTATGATTCCTTGAATATGTTTTATCATGTGTAACCATTTTAGGAGTTCCTTTGATAGGTTACTTGATACAGGTATAACTGTATAATGAATTTAACATGAAGAAGATACAGCAAAAAATGTCTTTGCAATTCAGTTTAAGGGAGCCGACTGGGGTTTTATTGTGTGAAAACTACTGTACAGAAACTCTTTAATTTTATACCATATGTACCTTACATTGACTTCAGTATACATGCCAAGTTAAGTGAAAATCTACCGTCTGGTTATTTTTAAGGGACCATCTCAAAATACAGGTATATTTACCATAGGATTATAATAATAGGAAAATACTATTTTTTCACACTTCAAAGCAAATTATACAAATGCTACTATAGATTTTTTGCTCAATATATAGTATTTGATAAGTAATACTATATTGTACATTTTATGCAAGAAACACTAAATTCTACCATCTGGTTTCCAGAGGGGGCATCTCAAAATGTCAAAATTCATGATATTTTCCTGTTTTTATGGAGTACTACAAAACATGACAGATACCACAGATTTATATAAAAAATAATAAAAATGATTGAGAGATACTTAATTTTCTATGTTTAAAATTTCAAGAGCATCCATTTTATACTTTTTATTTTATGACATAATTAATGACCCCTCTTTAAGAACTTCGGTTATCTATAACGTCAAAAACACACTATTACGATGTCTATCTACCATCATTTGAAAAATCGTTTAAAAAATCAGTTATTTAAAAAGGTAATAAGATTTTTCAACCTAAGATTTCCTAATTTTGTTAATTTTTACAAATTATGTAAAAATAGTTGCCTTAAAAGAGTAAATACGCTTTATTTCACTATGCTGCACGAAGAGTAGCGCAATGAAAACCCCAGTCAGCCCCCTTAAAATTCATTTTATCAAATACTTTCATCAACATGATTACCTATCTGTTGTAATTAGTAGATACTTCCATCTCACTATGATGAGAGAGTAATTAATGTTTGCCTTATCTTGTTTCATTTTGTTCTTTTTTATTTTCAAAGGTTATATTTCTAGTGAATTTATAATCTAAGTAAGTACTGTCAAAAATAAATAAATTTCAATATGCAGTTGTATATAAATCCCAACCAAAACTTTAACCAAAACAACATAAACTATTTAAAAATTCCCATTAGAGTTGCTGACTTACATTTCTCAATATAGTCTTGTTTGTAGAATTTTCTGGAATGTATGCCTTGTATACTGAAGCATTGAAGACTGGTGCATTGTCATTCATATCTCTGATCTCCACAGAAACAGTAGCCACATCACTTTGATTTCCATCACTGACACTGACAGTGAAGTTATATGATGTAGTATTTTCAAAATCAAATATTGTATTTGTTGTAATTATCCCTGATGTAGAATTCAAACAGAAGTCTGAAAATATCAAAGATATAAATATCACTAAGTTTTAAATATTCCACTTGCATACAGGACCATTATTTCTATCAGATTGTAAAATCGCTTTGGACTAAAATTGGTTAAGAATGGTTTAGCCAAGAAGCTGAATATATGCAAGTTTACAAACAATGGACAATGTTCTACATTGGACAGAACAGACAGCTAAAGATCAGGCAAGTGACTCAGAAGACCTAACAAACATTAGAATAAATGATATTACATACAATCTTCTGGACTTTTTGTTCTTGAGAAGAAAATAAGTTAAAAAAGTTATACAATGAATAGGTTATCAACAACAGATAAATGCAACAAGTTCATAAAAAATAGACGAATTTCACATTCATAAGAGTTATCTCCCATGGTTGGTGTAACCCTCATTTTTCTCATTATAACCTTTGTAACTTACCTGTAAATATTTTCATTCTTTAAATGCTATCAGACAATATTGATCTGTTCCTGTATTCCCATAGTATTTGGCAACATAAAATACATAACAAACACATTCATACAGATTTCATTTGTAAGACATTGCCCTATGAAGTTTGTAATGGTATAGAGGGAAAACAGTGTCTTACTTTGGTTGACCCCAGATTGACCCCGCAATGGGAAATAACTTTTGTAAATGTAAAAGTTGTCTATTGATGACTTAGATGGCCTGTCCATCATGCATCTATACAAACACTGGTTTTTGTTTTGCTGTAGAACTAATTTTGACTTACTCTCATTCCCCGGGTCCATTGAGTACTGCAGTACCGAGTCTGAATCTTTGTCCACGGCTCTCACTTCCCCTACTTCAGTCCCTACAGCCTGATTTTCTCCTACACTAAACTTATATACTCTCTGCTGAAATTTTGGCTTCTCATCGTTAACGTCCTTCAAACTGATCATCACTTTACATGTGCTGAAACAAGATCTCAGCTATTTATTTCAGAAAAAAAATAAAGAAAGAATTGATTTAAAAGAAAAAAAAAGAACAAGCTAAGTCTCTTTCAAAAGTATTACTTTGAAACAATTTCAAAAGAAATTTATATTCTTAATAACCACTGTTAAATTTGTTTACTGACATAAAAAAAAACCCAGAACAAAACAACCTCAATAATTCTGCATTTGATGATTTTGAAGTATTGCTTTACTGTAAAAGTGGTTGGAAATTTACTTATGCGGTAAGCTTAGAACCACGTAAAATAACCCCATGCGTAATTGGTCACAAAATTTCAAAGTTCTAATACTAATACTTATACTGTTAGACTGGTCAGACCAGTCGTAGATTAAACGTGGTATTGAACGCACATGAGTAGATAGCTACTTCACAAACAGTAATGAAAATGAAAATGTTTATTTTTTAAATTGTGCAATGAAAAATGCATCTTCATATAAAATATTTTAAATCAACGTCACACAATTGAAGCTTCAAAATATTGATACTCATTTTCATTTCCTTTGTATGTATGTGTATGTCCCCTTTAATTTCAAATAATTAGTCCAAAATGTAACACAAACTCAGTCACTACAAACATACATATTGAATTAATTGTCAACACTCACCATGCAGATATAGGTAATTACTGTAGATTCTTAAATATACGCGAGGAATAAATTATCGCATAATAACGTGAGAAGCACCACTCCCCAAATAAAATTACTTGCTTTTGTTTTTATTTTTATGGTGCTTTAATTATGTAAAATCTCTAGATAAATCACCCATTCGCAAATTATTGTTCTCACGATTTGACGTCCTTGGGCCATTTTGCGATATTAAGTACTCACGTAAAGTAAGGAATCTATAGTAGGCCCCACTTTGAAGTTTGAACTTGTATAAATAATTATAATACAGCGTTCACTAGTTGTTCATATTTCACCGCTTTATTGACTGTGCAGATCGCCGTTATATAAAGCAATCCAAGGAACATACACATATTGATGACCAGTACAAATTCTATTTGTTTTGTTTGTTTGTTATTATTTCTTATTCATTTTTTCATATTCATGCATGTAAACAACTTGACCTTTTCAAAGGGGAACAAACAACTCGATGTTAATAATGATGACAGCATAAATTTTACTCGGTAGCTCCTGCAAGCGTGTATATTTCACCCATGCATAATGTTTGACGGTCACAAAGGCGTACTTAACAACCAATATAAATAAACATTTTCAATAGTAAGACTGATGGATGAGAGACAATCAATGCAAAAGCTCTGCTAGTTTAAATTATATTTAGTCAGATCTATTATCTGCTCTTGACACCCTGAATCTGCCCAATTCTTTACAAATATTAAGTATGACTACCAACATGTCTTATTCATGTCCTAGTGATAATAAATGATTATTTAGACTTTCCTGACATTATTAATGTGATTAAATATTGTATGATAAAACCTTGTGAGACTGCTATCATTTCTGTCAGTGGCCTTCACAGTAAGAATAAAACTGTGTTCTCCATCCTCATAATCAATTGTCTGATTCAGTGTTACTTCTCCATCACTGTTTATCTTGAACTACAAATGAGAAAAAAATATCCGTACAAATATGTAATGCTGCAGACCAGCATTCATCTGTGTGCAACTAACTTCCCATCAGCATACAAGAGGCCCAAGGGCCTTGATAGTCACCTGAGTATAATACAACAATTTATAGGATCCGTAGAGCATAAAATAAACTGATAGATGAAGCTTTGTTGCCCAAAAGCCTAGCATTCAATAACAACTCATAAATATTAAGTTTAATCTGCCAAGTGCTTCTGTACTATTTAAGAGCCCTCTATACACTGCACACCAAAGAGTTCTGATTTTGTGGTATTTTATGCAGATTGAGTAATCTGCCCTTTGATCTGGAATAAAATAAATTGAAATGTACACTTTATTACTTCATCTGTGATCAAATCAAGCATTCATGACATTTAAATAGGCCAATATGAATAGATGAACACTTCATTTGCAGGTATTTTTCCCATTTAAGTCAACAACAGTGATTTCTGTTAAACAGTACATCAGTGTCTCTGAACATTTTTCCTGGGGGTAAATGCAAGGTACCCTATGCTGAAAATGTATTAGATTAACTCAGTATTTACACCTTTGCACACTATAATTTTCTCATTATCCAAAAAATCTTTTCCTTTGATGAATAGAGGGTCCTTAAACTCCATATTGTAGCCTCTTACGTTGGCCTTTTTTGGTCTTTGAAGAACATTTAATAAGTTATTTTTGTCTCATTTTTATGTATCTATTATTTACAAGTCTATCTGATCATTAAAACTATGAAAGTATTTTCGTATTATACTATAAAAATTCTTGCATAATTCTCCTATTCTATTAACCTTTCAAATAGGTACATTATTTACAGTGATTAATTATCAAAAGTGAATGGCAAAGGAGAATAACTTCTCTCAGTGGAATACAAATTAATAGAACCCTAGTCAGGACCAGAACACTTGACCAATTAGTCCAGATGTTCAAAAATCTGGTAAAAATACCATTACTTATTAAAACTTTTACTCTGCCTCCAATATGTCCAGGAGCAGAGAAGATTTTCAAAGAAATAATGCATTTTCACTACAGAATCAACACAGCCCTACCCTAACACTAGAACCCATGACCCTGGGTCAGGAAGTTCACAAATTTGGAAGAGGTACCCTAATCATCATAACTATGCATTTGTGGAAGATTTTTAAAGAATTAACACATTTTCTTTTTCACTATATTATCAATACCCCCCTCCTCCCCCCCCCCCCCCCCACCGAAGAAACACAAGAACCCCTGACCCTGGGAGCACAAGTTTTAAAAATTTTGTAAGAAGCACCCTTGTTCATCATAACTATGTACTTTGTTTATCTACTCAACACTAAAAAGCAGACAGGATTATTTAAGGACATTGGCATGTCAGGGGTTTCTGGAGAAAAAAGGTTTAATACATAGATTTTTTCACTTATAAAATAGTGATTGAGAGTGATCTCCCGTGTAGAATTCTCTAAGCAGTGAAAACCGATAAAGCGTATGTTACACAGGTAAACAAAAGCACGTGTACTTCCTTTAACGGGTAGAATCATCTATACAGCAAGAAAGAAAATAGTAATGGCTTTGTCGTACATTGTATTCAGGGACAAAGAGCCAACAGGTCGTCATTTACTATAGTTATGCTCATTATACTGGGAAGGGCAAAGATGTGACATCTGAAAGGTAGGCCGACTGAGAACAGTTCTTAGGTGTGAAGGTAGCAGCATTTAGTAACTACGAATAAAAGTTGAAAATAATTCCATGCCAATATTTTTATGACAATGTGTTTCATCAATTCAGTCAATTACATGATAGAAGCAATGAACCAGTCTCTTGACCAATTTTAGATGTTACGGGAAGCATCTCAAAAATACATGATCGCGGTGCCGGTATGTCCATGTCTTGTTCCTATATATACATTTTCAGCCAAAATATCTAGAATTCAAAGGAAATGAAGATACAATAATATATATCATAATACAAAAACTATATGAAACAAGCATTCTGAGAGTATTGCATTAGCAATACTAGTCCCCTACCAGCAAGCGTAATCTGGTTCCCTTTAAGAATTCAAAATGCCATAATCTGGTTCCCGTTAAGAATTGAAAATGTCATAATTCCATCAAAACTGAATGAAGCAGAACGAAATGCAAACTTGATCTATAACTCATCAAGGTAAAGACACATACCAAATTTCAGCTCAATATCTGAAAGCGTTTAGAAAAAAATTGCGGAAAACCCTGAAAAATTGAAAATGTTGTAATTCTGTCAAAAATCATTGAAGCTGAAAGAAATGTAAACTTGATCTGTAACTCATCAAGATACACTCACATACCAAAAATCAGCTCAATATCTGCAAGCATTTAGAGGAAAAGTGCGGAAAACCAAGTGGGACAGACTGACAGACAAACAGAGGGACAGACAGACAGACGGACGGACAGACTCAGAGGAAATCTATAGTCCCCTCCGGTTTCACCGGTAGGGTACTAATAAGTGGGTTTTGGCGAAATATTATGGTGAAAAATTATGTAGGTCCCCTTTGTAAACATTTTACATAGGAAATGCATTGAGAACTGTAAAAAAACTGATTTGACAAAATCTAAAAAAGAAGGTTGGCTTGGTATGTCAAACGATCCAGAATATAGCCTGTTTATTACATTTAAACTTACTCAAGAGTTCTTGAAAAATTCTATATGATAACCAGGAACCTTGCCAATGTCCTTAATAGAATTAAAGCATTTTCACTATTTTATCAATAGAGCCCCACCCTTACACAAGAACATCTGACCCAGGGGCCATGAAACTCACAATTCTGGAAGAAGCACCCTAGCTCATCATAACTATGTACATTGTTAGGTTGTTAATATCCAGAGAAAATTTTCAAAGAATTTATGCATTTTCACTACATAATCAAATGAGCCCCATCCCTTCATCAGACCCCCCCCCCCCCCCCCCCCCCCCGGGGCCATGTATTTCACAATTTTGGAAAAGGCATCCTTGCTCATCGTAACCATGCACTTAGTTTGTTTAATAATACCCAGGAGCAGAGAAGAAGATTTTCAAAGAATTAAAGCATTTTCATTACAAAATCAATAGAGCCCTGCCCAAACACCAGAACCCCTGACCCAGGGGCCATGAAATTCATAAGTTTGGAAGAAACACCCATGTGGAACATTTGCTGATTCAGCTGCCATTCCATCTGGTATAAGAAGTGTCTGCTAAAAAAAATCCACTTTAACATTTTCTTTTCCTGGAATATTTACTGCTGTCAAATTAATATTTCTTTGAATTGCCCACTCCCAATTTCCCTTGCAATAGAATTCATGCTTTCCTAATGAATTCCCCCCTATAAAATAACTTAGGAACATAATTTTTTGAACTGGAATCAGAATAGATTTCTTTTGATTGATTACAAATCCAGCCTGCTGGAAGACTTTGAGGACTTTGGTACACATCTCCTGTGCTTGAAATGTGCTATCCACAGAGAGTCGTCTATGTAAATTACTCCCCGATGACCTTGAGTTCTGAGGAAAGACATTAAGAGGTTTGGTACACTTTGTGAAAACCTGAGGAGCTGATTTCAGACCAAATGGAAGACACTGGAATTCGTATGTTTGATTTTCTCAAATGAATCTCAGATATTTCCGATGTAGATGGTAAATTGGTATACTGAAGTTAAAGCATCCTTCAGATTCAAACTGATCAAGAAATCTCCTTCCTGTATTAGATTCAGGGCTGTCTGCAAAGTTTCCATCTTGAAATGCTATTGTCTCTATAAATCTGTTCAGTGGTTTTAAATTGATTATTGGATGCATTCTGCCAGATTTCTTGGGAACTAAAAATACTGTTGAGATAAATTCTTTTGGATGATGCTGAACTGGTAGAATGGCTTGTTTTGGCAGTAAAAAATTGATTTCGTCTTGAATAACTTTTGCTTTTTCCATGTTTTTTGGAGTTGGAGTAATCCTGGATTAATTTTGTGCTGATAGGGTTTCATCATAAATTCTATTTGGTATCCTTGAATTATACTGAGAACGTTCATGTCTGTAGTCAGCAGGGATGGGCTATTTGAAATAAGTACATATGTAATTGTAATTGAGTGTAATTAATTATGTTTTACAAAATAATTGAAAGTAATTTGTAATTGACCATTTTTTCAATTACTTTTAATTGAATATAATTAATTACATTGCAAAAAATACCCTGTAATTTCAATTACATTTCAATTACAGGTAAACTTCGTTATCTCGACATCGACGGGACCATCGGAAAATGTCGAGATATCCGAGGTGTCGAGATATCAGAGTTGAGACTTGACGTCCAAGATTTCATTGCATAGCAAAACAGACAAGCTTATTATATGTACATGACTTTAATATAGACTGTAGCTCAACATATTTCAGAATTCCCTCTATTCTTATTAAAAATCTAAGAAGTTATTTTAAAAATCTTGTTTATAAAACGTGTTCCTTATCGAAATCTTTCTAAATTCACAAAGTTTCAGCACAAAGTTACAGCATTGAGCTGCATTCGAGTGTAACTTGCCTTTTCGTCAGAACAGGATACGAAATGCGCTCTATAAACTTCGAACTGTATAAAGTCGACATCCGATATACGGTAAAAAAAAAATAAATGCGGATTATTTTTTTCTTATTTCATTCAGAAAGAATGTACAATAAAATTATTTTTTTTAAAGAGATTTGTGTATCTAAACTAACGTAGTGATGGTACGGATGCACGAATTACGACTGATTCTGTCAATGTCGTTAATTGGATTGTTTCCTGTTGAATACATTTTAACTACAAAATATCATTAAAACTATTTTTTTAATTCCTTAGTATGAATTTTTCAGTGTGTTTTTGTTATTCATTGTAATTTAGTTATCTTTTTCAAATTTAAAAGTTATGTTACGTTTCAATATAAATAACATTCTGTACATTTACGCAGAATCGTGTAGATTTAGCAATGATATTACCCAAGCTCAATTAACTTCTCAAAGACGCCGAAGGGGCTTGGGATTCACCTACAAACACAGTCTATAAAATTAATTAAGCAGCGTGCAGTCAAAACATGGGTGTGAAAGGTGTGAAACTTTGACGACGTCGAGATACCCGGAGTCGTCCGTGCGTGACGAGCGACCCTGTCTGAAAAACAGTTAGGTTCAGTAGAGCAGAAAATTGCCGATGTCGACATATGCCAGGTAAATTTTGCTCTTGGGACTGTGAATATACGTCGAGATAACCCGGGTTGTCGACATTACCGAGGTAGACATATCAGAGTTTTTGCAAATCATTTATATAGTAAATACTGCCGGGACCGCGGAAGGATGTCGACATATCCCAGGTTGTCGACATATCCGATGTCGAGATACCGAAGTTTACCTGTACTTTACATAATACATATAATGTGTGTTTAATTGAAATATTTCCAACACAGTCACATTTTACAGTTATTTTAATTTATTCAAAGAAGCCCTTCTGCTTTTCAAAATCTTAAACTTTTTTTTATATCGCGATAAATGAATTTGATATATTGGCTTGTTTATAAAAATATTTGTTTTATAATCATTACGCACATAAAGAATTAAAACTAGTTTAATGTTTATCAATATTTTTTTTTATCTACTTCTCATTTGTAAAGGCATGAAAACATTTCAATTTTTTTTTTTTTTTGGCTTGATTATCAAAAAAGAATAGAAAATAATTTAATGTGTCATTAAGACCTGCCTTGTTGCCCTTCAGCTCCCAGCTGTAAATTGCAATCAAAACAACCCTCTCAAGTTATGTATACAATTTTATATTATGCTTTGTTTAAATTCAAAGATATGACCATTACAGGCAATTTATTAAATACTATTAAGAATGCTCTAGCTATGGTACTATATACTTCAGAAAAGAAATATATATTGAATCACTATTTTTACATTTAATAAACAAATATTTCTATGCATGTATGCATTTGGTACCTGAAATAGTTATTACATAAAACAAGTATTATTTACTGTATGAAAATTGTCAACATTTGCAATTTAAGGTGTTTAAATTGTAGCTACCTCTAGCTGAAATAATTTGAGAATATTTTATGGTTGATTCATAAACTCTTGAAAACTCGCTTTTAATTAAATTTCATAAACATGATAAAGGCAGTCAATTGATAAATGTACATGTAGGACTAGGTCTTGTGTTGATAAACACACAAACATCACAGGCACCTGTCATTATTTTAAATATTCCCCCTACCTTAAATTTACATTTATTTGTTAAATTCTTCAAGATTTTTTAAAGTACGTACGTGAAACAGAAGTAATTGAAATGTATTTAATTACATTCTTCAAAGTAATTGAGAGTAATTAATTACATTCGTAAAACTCAATGTAATTGTAATTGCAAGTAATTGACAAAATTTTCAATGTATTTGAAAGTATTTAATTACATTTCAAAGTAATTGACCCCAACCCTGGTAGTCAGTGAAGTCCAAAAGGTTACGTGGTTTAGAATCTGGCCAGAAATTACTGAGATTTGTGGTTCTTCCAGGTGGTGGTGTTGATTGTCAATTTCCGGTAATTTAAATTCCATTTGTATTCTTGGTAGTTTTTTGAATATGGTTTGTTGTTGACCGACTGTTTTCTGTTGGATCAAAAGGAATCGCTTTCTCGAAAGGAATTTGAACGATACTTTCTGCCAGATGCAGATGATTTTAGCATTTTGGTTGTGGCTCTTGATGCCTCTGATATGTCTTTGCAGACCTTGGTGAGTTCCAAACCAAACAACTCACCAAGAACCTTTTGTGTCTTCTTGCATTAAGTCTTTATAATCTCCAGCAAATAAATGTTTTAGGTAATCTCTCCTAGCTACAGAAAGTTGGAATGAGGAATGTGAGAGGAGAAAACGTGCATCTTCAGATATAGTAAGTAGATTGGTAAGTAACTCATCATCAGGATTGTCCTTTTTAAATTGGTGTTAACTTTTCAGATAACAGTGCTGTGGCATCAATGCCCCCACACAAATTTCCCTGTGTCTTTTGTAGTCCATGATCAGTGTCTTTTTGGAAACTGAACATTTTCCAGTAGATGGTTGCATTTATTGTGGGCACTAACAGATGTGGGATGTTGTTGGGTCTATCATATTTATCTCTAATATCTTTAATAAAGGAAACATTCTGCGGGGGATGTACAAGCCTTATTTACCATTGGGGCTAAAAAGTTATTCACATATGCGGAGGTTTTACCTTTGGTAAAAGTGTGGCCAAACCTTGTCTCATCATCGTTAGCATCTGAGGAACTATAATTTTCCTCACTGCATGTCATTAGTTTCATGTTGATGTTCCAAAATCACATCTTCATTCTCGTTTCACTTGAAACGTTTTTTGGATGATTCTTTTTCTCCTAACTTACGTTTCATGCTGATTTCACTAATGACGACAACTGGCTTATTGAATGGACAATGTCATTCAATCCTAGCACCTGGTGAAGTGACAAAACAGTTTCGTTATCATAAACCATGAGAGCAGCCATGTCTAATGTAGAGGAAGCCGATCAAGTATCGTAAAAGTCGATCAAGCATGTCTGGATTCCAGATACGCTTTGCCCCAAACAGGGAAAGATACTGAAACCTGCACTGAACGTGTGGAATTATCTGATGCTAATCCAAGACTGGATACAGAAGTTGCATAGATATTGCTAAGTGGAACTGAATGCCTTAACCATCTGACTGATGATCCTTGGGCCAAATGCAACGATAATGGCAGGCGGATCATATTATACCCTGCCTCCAAAGTCAAAGACAAGGTGCTAACAGTTGCTTTAGGTAACAATGCCACAGAAAAGGTGGATATTCCACTTAAAAAAAGGTACAGAAGCCTGAGAAACACTTGTTATGTGTTCAACAGAGATTAGAGTTAGCATGGTCAGTGTTAGCTTGGTCAGCATGCCCCGCCGTCTTCTCTGATAAGACTTGATGTCTGAACTTGATTAGGTGTCCTGTTCATCTTCCTTCATTTGTTCAATGATGATAAATTTTTCCTTAACAGAGTTATCCGTAATTTCCCAGGGTTCGAAATTCACTATATACAACTCGCAAAACGCGAGTAAGAATTCCCAAATTGAGAGTTAAAAATGAGGTAACTTGCAAAAACTTGCGAGTTGATTTTTTTTTTGCATTGAAACTGTAGCAAAATTATATAATATGACAGAACACAATGCTTTTGATTTAAATCAGTAATTTAAATAAAAGTCACACTGTAGTTGTATTTTGTGTATTATACAGTAGTTACTTTTTCCTAACATGCATAAGTTACATGTATTTAATTTATATAAATTTAACTTTATATGAAAATTGTGAGTAGTCTTGTAAAATTGCGAGTTCACTTTCTTGGTACTCTCAATTATTTGCGAGTTGTAATTTTAGGGAGTTTCTAACCCTGATTTCCACAAGAAAAAATGAAACTGTGAAACAAAACGCAAACACACTATATTACGTAACTTGGTGGTCTATACTATGCAAGCTCTGAATTAACAATGATGGGTAGTGGTGGGAAAACTTTTATTGTTTCTGTGAATTAGTGGTCATTATTTGCGCATGCACTGGATTCTGCATATTTAGCTATGAATGTACGAAGGAGGACGAAGGATAATCAATAGACCCCCCTTGCACCAGAACCCTGATCCTTAGGCCATGAATTTCACAATTTTGGAAGAGGCATCCTTGCTTATTAAAACCATGCACTAAGTTTATTTAAATAATACCCAGGAGCAGAGAAGAAAATTTTCAAAGAATTATATTATTAACACATTTTCACTATATGATCAATAGAGCCCTAGCTGTCCTAACACCAGAACCCCCGACTCTGGGCCATGAATTTCACAAAGTTAGTAGAGGGCTCAATGCTTATTACAATCATGCTATCAATTTGACTGCTTGATGTCCAGGAGTAAAGAAGAAGATTTTTAAAGATTGCATTAATATTTGTGGTTTTAGCCCCACCCCTCAGGCCCCAGGGAAGCAGGGACCATGAAATACACAATTTTTGTTCCCCTTCACCGATAAATGCTATATGCCAAAATTGGTTGAAATTGGTTTAATGGTTCCATAGAAGAAACTGAAAATGTTCAAATGTTAATGCACAACGACAGACAAAAATGGATAGCAATAGGTCACCTGAGTGACTCGGGTGACCTATAGCTTAAAATGCCAATTTTTATCTTTAGACCTTATTTTTCATTTACAGACTATGATCACAAAAAAAAGTCTTCAGGAGATCCACAATCAATGGCCAAATCAAAATTGATTCTACAATTTTGCTTGAAGATCACTTTACCTTGCTGTGAGACCCATTAACCAGTTCATAATTGATTTGTTTGAAATTTGCTGTGGTGTCATTGTCCGTAGCTCTTATATGGCAGTTAAAACCTCCAATATAAGATTCATTAACACTACACCAGTATAAATCTACAAAACAAAATGATATCTTCAAAATAATTACAATACTAATTTAGAATAATTTAACCTCATTCGTATTCTTCAGATTCCTTTGGAATTGTAACTAATATGTAACTGTAATATTCTACGACTGATATTCTATTTTAATCAAATCTATTGAAGTAACATCTTCTTCAAGAACTGCAGAGAATGTCTACGAGTTAACAGAATACAGTCAAACCTTGTTATCTGGAACTAAATGGGACCAAGAAAAAACTTCAAGATATCCGAGGATTCGAGATATCCAGGGTAAAATACTTAAAGAATAAGGGGTTGGGACTTCCAAATCACTTCGACATATCCATGGTATTCGAGATATCAGTGTTCGAGATAATGAAGTTCAACTGTATTCTACTATTATGTGGATCTACAGATGATTTAATTACCCTGTTCAAACTTAGGACTGTTGTCATTTACATCCAGAATGTTGATAACAAAGGAGGCTGTGGTTGTGTGATTGGTCTTACTTAGCTCTCTTGAATCTGAAGCAGTTATCTGCAAATATTTTTTGGTTTTCATTTAACATTAATAATGATATGAATAATACATTTTGTCATTTTTTTTCTGATCTGCAACAACTGATCGCTGTATATGCATATACAACGTCAAATAACTACTATATCAAAGTTTACTAGTGCTTAATATTTTTTGAATGAACAAAGTTTTTTTTTCATCTTTTTAAATTATCGTATATGAATGAACAAAACCGTTCTGTATATTGTTCAGCATTAATATTACTTGGATATAAAGAAGTTGTAACATCAGACAAAGACTGGGTTCTGGACAACTCACCAAAAGGTACAATTTGCTCAAGTCAACCTCTCACCGATGCAACAAGTCATAGAAAGACAATGTTGATGACGACATCTATTTGATATCACTTGTATTGAATAATAATAAAATAAATAAAATAAAAAAAAAGTTTTGAACACTTTTCATTCTTCTGTCATATTCTATCTCTTTCACCAGAGACCTGACTGAGGGTCTGCATATTTATTCCTACTCGAATGAATAAAGATATATTAGCACACATTAGGACAGGTATATATAAGTTTGGGACAGAATAAAAAGGCTGAGTCTTATTGGCAGATTGCAAGGGCTGATGCATTGAAAGAACTTTTCATTGAAAAAACAAATGAATATAACCATACCCAGACCTTGAGAATATTGGGTGTATTTAAAAAAAAAATACTTGAAATTGATATTTGCAAAACAAAACTACAATGAACAAATTTTAATATAGTATCTTCACTTTGTTCAAGGGTAGGAAACGGAAGCTATCTAAAATATGATGAGGGCTTGGTACATACAGTCAAACCTCATTACCTCGAACTTAATGGGACTGAGAAAAAACTTCAAGATATCCGAGGGTTCGAGATATTGAGGGTAAAATACTTAAAGAAAAAGTACTTGGGACTTCCAAATCACTTCGACATATCCATAGTATTCAAGATATCAGTGTTCGAGATATTGAAGTTCAACTGTATTTCTTTCTGTAACATTGAATATTGTGTTAAATGAGCTAACAAAAACACATCAATTATGATTCGCTTCATTTCTTTTTATCAGTTTCAATGAGCATTGATGAATTGGTATACCTATAAGATGTCCATTATATATCTCGTCTTATCTAGGAGTTGTCATATCGATGATTTGTAAAATCTATGAATTTTTTCAATGAATTGATTGTCTTTAGATGAGTTGTCATAGACCCACTACACCTAAAATTCATCTTTTCTCTGAATTTCATTATACATACGGTGAGGGTGTAATTTTGCTTTTCCTCGTAATCAGTAGGATTAGCCAGGTATAGGGTACCATCGAGTTCATTGATAAAGAAATGGCCCTCTGAGTTTCCATCTGTGATCCAGTAGTAAACTGACCCAAATTCTTTTGACCAATCAGAATCATTGGCTTCGACACTGTAACAGCCCCAAAAATAAAACTCATGTTGAAATTAAAAACAAGAGCCTCATGAGCCATTTATTATTCTTACTTATAAAATGGTCACATTTTTCTTCCATTCATTGGAGGTTAAGCATGACACGACCCTCTGACTGAGGCCTCAAAACCAAATGATCCATGTTTTCAATAAATTCAGCCTAGAGTATACTAATTGCCATCATGTTAACAAATTTTAGCCTTGCAGTTATACTTCTCAGGAAGTTGATATACTTTAATATCAATCTGTGTACCCTCCCTGACCTGTGGGGCAATGATCTGCACCTCTGCAACAAGGGACTGCTATTTTGCTGTAATTCTGCTGTTCATGGAAACATATAACTTTCATAGACTTTTTCCAATCCACACAGCCATGGTATAAGCAACTTTTAATACTACATGATAATGCATACACAGGTAACTTCAACTAATAAAGATCCTGCTACTCTTCGGAGGATTTCTTCATCTTTGTAAAATCATATTTCCACTGCCAGTGTACCTTTGTGGCTAGTCCCATAATTCTTTAATTCAGGATTATGTTTGAACAATAATTTGATGGTTTGCTGTTCTCAAAAGATTTTTGTAATTCATTGATATACAAAAATATGTTACAACTTCCCCCAACCCCATCCTGGTTCCAATTAGTAAATGAACTGAACAAATCTGAATTAAGCTGTATATCTGTGGTATGCTTGCAATATTCATTTACAATTTGTCTTTATAGACTACTACAAAAATATGTTACAACTTCCCCCAACCCCATCCTGGTTCCAATTAGTAAATGAACTGAACAAATCTGAATTAAGCTGTATATCTGTGGTATGCTTGCAATATTCATTTACAATTTGTCTTTATAGACTACTTTCTAGAAGATTTTTTTTCCAAAATATTCTAATAC